AATGCCTTCTGTCTGATCCCATGTCATTGTAAATGTCCAGATATGGTATTCTTAGGATAAAAATTTGACCTATTTAATGTGCGTAGACAGCTGATTGAGAGCACACGAAATTGATGGCCAATATCAATTCTGCTCAGGCAGTTTTCCCAGAGAGTCAAGGAACATAAACCAGCCCGGTTGACTACTGGAGATAGAAAAACGATGACAAGTGCCATTGTCAAACACCTCGCAAATACGAGACATACTTTAAATGAAGACGCTTTCAAGGTAATCTACCGGGTACCTCCTTATCTATCTAAAACTATTCACCAACAACATTTAGCAACAGCTGAGGCAGTAGCCATCCGTCTGTTTAACCCATCGCTTCGTTACCAAAAACGATTCGTTAAAGCACTTCAACTGCCATGGCCACGGAGTGAATTCAGTTGCATGATTGGAGCTGACTCTTTCCATGACCCCTTGACCCTTGCGATTGACCCCGTACCCCAAACAGGTGATAGTTAACCTTGTCTCGGTCCTAATCTCTCTTGTCACACGTCCTCTTTTCCCATCCACCCACCACTCCATTTTTCTTTGTAAACCACAAATAAACAATCAATTATGTTTACCAATCCAATCCGCACACACGTCAAACGTTATGCAAATGTGATATATCTTTTACCTATTTATATAAATGTATTCGCCAGAGGAGGAAGTTATCAAAAACGAGCTTGTTCGCTATTTCGCCTTCTGTTCTCAAATGTTACAATGGGAATCTTCAATGACTGCTTTTTCTCTGTTTGGAACCATGCTTACTGATTCACTGAAAATCGGACTGGAATTTTGTTCCATGCTTAGCTACAGGCATTGACCTCAGCATCCGAACACAAATGAAAGTGAAGTGTACGAAATGTATCACTTCGATTTTATTCATCGTTTTATGCAAAATAACAGTTAGATTACAGATTATGATTCAAAAGGCCACTAGAAATAAATGAATGAATCTTTATTGACCCTTGAAATAGCTTTCAATTTGCATTACACTAAACTAATTTCCATTCGCGAGAAGATTGGCTCTACCGGATTGACCCTGTGGTTGATTTGGTTTAGGACAAGTAACGTCCATGCAAGGGTCGGAATCCAACCGAGCCTACTGATCATTTTAGGATCCAAAAATTTAAAGATCTCTACTATAAAATGCACCCGTTTTTCTCCGTTTTCAGTCATTTAAGAAAAGATACCTTAACACCGAGATGCAGAGCGGCTTTTTGCTGTCCTTACTCTAATTCACGTGTGCAAGAACAAGGCGGTCGCTTCCTGTATCTTTTCTGCTTCCTTGCAAAATAATCCTCAGCACTTGGATGGTAATGCATATGCATACACTTAACGGTTTCAGGTGAAATATTGCTGGGGCAGCTGATGAGCTACTGAATAGAGTGACACGGTAATTGGGGTGTTCCACTTTGATGTTGATTCACTATTATAGGATGAAAACCCCTAGAGTTAGTTATCAGACAGCAAATAGTGACCAAAAATCTGGATACCTTATTCTTTCAAGTACCGATTAAACTTAAAATGTCTGATCATAAACACATGATTCTTCATCCAAACGATCAGGAAATATATTCTGTACAGATAAACGTACATAAAAATGAGAAAGTTTAGCAAACATAATCATCTATGAAAGACTAGTTTTAAGCAGCTTTCATGGGTACGTAAAGCTGAATTTTATACGAGGATAACCGACAATCGGCCATGTTGTTGTATTTTGTGAACATTACCATGACTGTCACGTGCAGCACAGTGGCACCTGAGACCCAATGTACAACTGTCTTATCCATGTTCCAACTTATGTTTGATGCGAATCTCTCGACTTCTCCGAGACCCAAATTCAAGCTTAGGTGCTAGCCATTAGGCTAAGCTATTTCACTTCATCTGCAAACCATACACCACAAACCCGACTGTACAGAATCAGTGGTCTAGTGGCCATTCCGTGGAGGCTTTACACTGCATGAAATAAACTATATCGGGTCACGGGACCGTTACGGAACCGAAATGACCTTCGTGAGATGGCATGTATGTGACAGCTTCTGTGCTGATTCAGAGCAGAACATCAAAAATGTGTTTTGGGGACTTTGCTATCACTCTTCACTGACAGTCAATCATCAACCTTGTTAATGACAGCACGATTCGGATTAAATGTTACGGATGAGACAAAGGTATAAGGACCAAAAAATCTAAGGTTTTATTGTTAGTTCATAGGGTCTACAGCGGATGCTGACCATTGCGAACCACAAACAAGGAAAGAAAACATTTTATTCTCTTACAGGATTTCCAGTCATTAGAACAATTGAACAGACCGTCGTTCCAATCGCGAAATTTCATTTGTCGTGGCTGATCGGAAATGGGTGCATGAGTCTCATCGGGAAATGCATTAGCCATAGTAGGTGTACTGACTCACAGGTGAGTTGACTCGCAAACGGTATTAGCCTCTAAAACTTTTACGAACATGTTTCCTATTTATACATGACGCTAAAGAATAATTTATCACGTCCCGACGCGGTTAAATCTAACATCCGAGGCGGTCGAAAATGATACTTTTTCAGGCAGTTCAATGACATAAAAATGAAAACTGCGCAATCTGTCTGTCAAATTGACGGGGTTCTATCGAACGGCGCACACCAGCACATTGAGTGTGAGCCACATGACAGTTCAGCTTAACCGGCTCGTCAGAAATTGAAACTCCGTCGAATCGGGTGACCCGGTTTTGCGTTGTTGGCAGTTAGAAGCTGATCCTAAAAAAACCGAGTAATCCAGATAATATGTGAACCAGTTCTCCGGTCAATTGAACAACAGAATGCAGTCGGCGGTGTTTGTACCATTGTTCCCTATTTTATCGACGCAACCTAAATGACAATAGTTGTGGAAACGGCACAAATTTTGGATATAATCTAATAGCAATCAAACGTCGTGACGGTTAGTAATCTGTGTAAGACGCACATTTATTTCTCCCATCAAGTGGCAGGATAGAGTTTTAGAATGTCTTATAATCTTGTCTTTTTATGTGCACCAAAGAACCAGTTCAACAAACTGCTAAATTGTATACATCCTATCTAACATGTTATCGTTTTATACGACATTATCAGTACCCTGAGGGTTATCGGTCCCCCCCCAGTGTTCACCGCCTTTTCGACCTAAAATATTCATTGTTTCCTCAAACAACTGCTTTGAAGTTCTGCACTACTTACAGATACACCTATTGTTTGTGTTAAAACACCAGGCAAATAGCTGTGGTCAGAAAGATGTAAAATTTGGCTTGGGGATTAATCAGTGATCAAAAGATTCATTGTTGCTGGCTGTAGTGTCTTGTTTACTTCCCACATTCGGAAATTCACACAATCATGGAGAGAAACGAGATTGTCCGGGTTACTTGGAAGCAAAAGTAAAGGGTACTGGAACTGTTAGTGCTTTGAAACTATGAATTCTGGGGTTAGGATTGTAAGTTACCCTCAAGTTTATTCGGTTCTATCACAGGCCCATCACAGGGTTTATTGGAGAATGAAGATAAAAGTATATTCTATAAGTTTCCAATTGACCATAACCTATTAGATGGATAAAACATTCAAAATTGTTTGATTCATTCGGATGTGGATCCTGTCATACTATCTGACAATATGTATTAACACTCTAATTGAGTCTTCTCTTGGTTACGAAGTTTTTCTAGTAACCAGACTCAAATCAAGGGGTTGTGTGACAACTAGCTTTGGCTGAGAAGCTTCATGAACAAAATGTTTCTGGTTGCACATTCGGGGATCGAACAACCAGATTCCAGTTGTTTTGTTCTTACATGGCAGCATCAATCGTGCTGATTTGTGGACGATAAACAGGGAATATGAAAAACAAATGTTGGCGCCTGAATTTCCACCACTCGATGGTTCATTCGGAGTTGATTTGCTCTTCTTATTTCCTCGTGTCCCAGACAGGTGAAGAAAGGGGCTCGGTTTCCTGATTCCCCGCAAAAGTCATCACTTTGCCTATGTAGTTAGCTTGAAAGGAAGCCGTAGCCGAGGTGGTCTCATTCAGTGTTGACGTACGTAGGATCACTTTGTAGTTGGTGCGTAATTAGCGTGATTCACATCAAATTGGGTCAAATAATATTGATGTTTGTACCCCTAATTGAAAATGACCAATTGATGATTTATCGAAAAACCGCTTATTTTGTCAACCGGACACTTTAATTTTATAGATGCAGACTAAATTATAGATGCCGTTTAAATTCGGAACAAAACAGAAAGCTGGTATTTGTGACGGTGACAGTGAACCTTTGGGAAAGTGTCAAACACACGTTTTGGATCAATTACTTTTTTCCGAAAATATTTCTTCTAGTTTCCAATTATTTTAAAGTGGAATCTCGTGTATGTCATTCATCTGAAGACTACTTTCTGTTGTTTTCAAGTGAATCAGCTGCATAACTCATCGGGTTGAAGAGATACACAAATCAATGTATTGTATCAAGAGGTAGACTCGTCGTGCTGGCATCAGTACCCTACATCGCACGATCTAGTTGATGCAACACAGGAACTAATCGCCATCAGCTATAATCTACGAGAACGCGAAGGCCATAAATATCCGCTCCATTGTTCGGGACATTCAAACTCACCTCAGTTTTGGCAAATAGCTACGGATTTTAAAGCCTATCAGCTATTCATGCATGGTCCATACGATAAGGTGCATGTAGCTACTTTTTGAGGTCGTTCAATCAAAATCACGTGAATAATGTAACTCGAATTGGATCTGGTCAATTAACGCCGATTACCGGGTAACGGTTTTGTATTGATCAATGTGTTCTCTACATGTTAAATCAACCAATCGCAATACCATCGTATGAACCTTAGTTTTCAATGTCACACACATGTCACAATCGAGTGTGCGATCTTTCGCTGATTTGACCCCAGCATTATTGTATCATCCGATTGCATCTGGATAGTTAAAATTGGTTCACAGATTTGATACGGATCGTTATGGGCAACTGCGTTCCTCCTCGTTCGGAAATGACTGAATTAGTCGTCTCGCCGAGCGAAATTAATCGTTCCAGTCTATCCAGCATTCTCACGCATGACACATGGACCGCAGGAGAAGTAGATGATTCGACGGAAAATTGGGGCATGAATGGTGCTGATATAGATCAGTCGGGGACAAGAAGTGTGTCGGTGAGCCTACCTTCATCATCGCCTTTGTTCATTTTGGAAACTGGATTAAGCGTCATCTCCAAACCGATTCCAACCATGCCTGAACAGCTTTCCAATCGATTTATTCCTCAGGAAATAGACAACCTACAAACGGATCTAAACTTTGATTTAGCAGTTCAGAGTCCACAAAGTAAGAAAACAGATCTAACCACGGTGAGCCCCTCACAAAGTGGATTAACAAACCTGGATTATGGCTTATGCAAACGAAGACAAATGCCTCCACGGCTAAGAAAAAATCAAGCATATCAGCTAGAAGGATCCCCAGAAGATAGTGGGATTGGAAGCAGCTTTCTCACTAGTCCGCGCGTTTTCTCTAGAATTTCAGGATCGCGAAATTCAGGTCCTGGTGAACAAGGACAAATTATCAGTCTACCTGGTTTCGGTCGGATGGAACAGTACCACACACCAGACGCCTCTTTCGTGGCTTTACTTGATCATCAGAGAAAGTCTGCTGCGGAACGAAACTCACCCATCAATAATGGCCCACTACCGCCTATTCCCCCCAAAGGGAACTATCAGGATACCTTTGAACGTAATCGAAAACGTACAATCAGTCCTAGTTTGGAGTCAAGTGGACTGATGAAACTGGGTATGGAAAATGGAGTCTATCAAAAACCGTCCATTGCGACCAAGGAGCCCGTTGTGGTATTTGCCATTCAGGCATTTCTTAAACAGCATGACGATGAATTGAGTATGGTAGAAAATGAGCGATTTCTGGTGCTCGATTTTAACCCTCCCGATTCTCAGTCATATGCTGGACCTGAGAACAAAAGATGGCTGGTCACTAGAATCGACCCACGATTTCATTGTTTAGTTGGAATGCGAAATGTACAAGGTTTGGTTCCAGCTCGACTGTTAGAACTATTCAAAATTGCCCCTGATCAGCATCCGGCTTGGTGTTTTGTGGATCGGGAGGAGGCTGATCGAATGCTCTTAAGTATGGGCAATCCTTGTGGAACGTATTTGCTAAGACCATCCTCAGGTGAGCGAAATAAATAAATTCCTTCCATTGTCTGTAACAAAAATGAACCAGTTTGATTCAATATTGATAGCAAATAACACTAAAGAATTTAACGCTTAGTGCTTTGGTACTCGTCGGTACCTGATCTGGAGAGTTACGTACGTTTTGTCATTTTACGTATGATCGTTAGACAGAGGGAATGAAAACAGCCAAATGTTTCTTATCATTTTTAGATAAAACATTAGGTAACTTAAATTTGGGTCAGGGCATTGTCTAATATACTACTAAACTGCGTTTTATTGTACGAAACTAATACATTTGTTGGTTTTATTTCGATAAGATAAGGATTGATATGAAGGATAAGATCGCAGGTTTTCTCGAGGGTTTTGAGTGCATTGTGTCACCGTTTACAGACTCTGCAATCATTATAAAGGTGAAATTTTCTCCTCCCATGTGTTGGTAACCATGACATTCGCGTTTGATAAATAATAGAGGCATACACGATTTATTGAAGTTTCAGTCATACATTTGTCCTAGCAACAGAAAATCACAGTATTACTGTGAAAGTTTCGTGCTTGATATTGTAATTAAGTTCGATATCGAGAAATTGAGTATCGATGACAATATTCCAACTGAAACACTTCGGGCTGTTCTGCGCTACCTCGTTCCACAACCACAACCTGATTCCTGCACATGATGTTCTCAAATTGATAATAAAACCCTTGAAATGGTGGCTTCTTATATTGAACCACGCCTCATCAGTTTTGAACGAGGGTTGCATACTTCAGAATGTACATTTTGAACAGTGCCCGTACTAGTTTCCTCCAGGCTCTTGGGTAAACCTTGAGGCGGTGAAGTGCTTTGCCATTAGAATCACTCTATTCTTCTATCTTCCCTTTGCACACCTGTGTCACTGGTCATTCATTCTTGATCCATAGCTACCATCATGAAGTCTGCAAAATTTGACTCTTAACCACCGGAGAAATCGTTGGGATTCTCTTACTCACTGCCCAACACGAGGGTGAGGGAAAGACATTTCATGTTAACGGTTCGTTCGATGGTCCACGCAAACAACCGAGCTATTGTTCTCCAGCTCACGATATATCCCCGCACATTATGTATTTGGGCTCAAAATTTGAAGAATTTAATATCTGAATCTCTTTGCAACATCTCTCTGCCGATAGATTATTGAGTGGATTTTCAGTCATTACACCCACGAACTTGATCCTGCGTAGTGAAATACCTAAATAGTAGTAATTGTATTAAAATGAGTAAAATTTACCGATTGGAAAAACAATCTAAAATTACTAAATATATTGTTTTTCAATTGGATAGATTGCGCGTACACCTATATCCGCAAAAATGATGCCTATCTGACCTCAGGTTACATAACATTTACAGTTAGCTACTTCTCGTAAATTTGAAGAGCAATTCAAACCCAAAGCGCTTCACACAAAAGTCTCGCATGTGCTCCTGTGACTTGTTTCTGTAGCTCAGTGCATTTTTTAACTACCAAAAGCAAATTAAATGTAAAATATCCCAGTCGTCCCTGTGTTTTTAACCGTGTAACATCATATTATCTCACCGTGCATTTCATCTGTATTGCAAAGTAACGGGAGAGAACAAAATTCATGTATTTTGGTTTTGTGAAACTTTTGTAAGTTACAAACAACCAAATGAGCCAAATAACTATACTGGTCATTATCCAGGAATACCCGATTTCAAATATTATTCTTTTATTATTCAAAAGAGCTCATTTATATTTATTTAATGAATTGGATTAATTTCATGAACAATGAATGAGCGGAAGATGAACATTTCTTCGATGATCGGAGTGTATCAATTTTTTATATTTCTGGTCTTTTTCTGTGTCTCCCACACACGCACACACTCAGATACAAGCAACGCGTTTGCGCTGTCCGTGCGATGTTTCGACGTGCAATCACAAATGTGGCTGGTGAAACACTATCGAGTCCGGTATAAGCCAGGTGAGGATCACTACTTCGTGTTTCGTCGTGCTGCATTCAACACAGTCGAACAATTGATCAATCATCATTCAGGTAAGTGAAGGTTATTTGTGGAGAAAAATAAAAGCGAAGTGTAAACACCGTGTTCGCATTTGTTTGTTTATGTTTATTCATTAAATATATCGATAATTTAAAGTTCAGATATACAACGTGAACAGAGGGTTGTGTACGACTCACAGTTACTGGTACTGAATAGTTGAAACATTCATCTGGTTTAGATGGTGAGTGTTTGGATTAGCCCATTCGGTTTTTCACAGGCACCAGGCACTACTTACGAGTCCCAAACAGGACGAAACAGCTGTCTGGTGCTCTCTGTTGGTTATCACAAACATTTCCATTGCATTTGAATTGTTTCGGTTCATTTTGAACAGTGAATTCTGCATACCAGTGTAACATCACTACAGAAGTTTTCCAGCTGGTTTGTGTTCAAGCGAACTGCGTCAATGTGAAAGCTTTTGTGATTGTGCCTTTAAAAGCAGTCATCACCGATCTTTTCTACCTCTGTAATTCTCGTAAAAGCCTTTGACCGAGCACTGCCGTCTAACAGAAAATCAATACAGACAACGTCTTCAGGAGGACGTCAAACATTTTGCTCTATCCGTTGATTACTATTAGTAGTCAGCAAGCTAGCTGGTTGGCTGGTGAGAGTTAATTTTCAAATAAAGGGATATGCGGTAGACATTAAATAGAGTTTGAGGTTTGCCAATGTTCAAGCATCGACACCTCCCTTGATGAGGAACATACTGCAAAAGACACTGGTATTTAAATAGGTTTTTGAATTAAAAATGTAAAATTTCAATTTGCTTATAGATCATCTTCTGGAATTGTTGTATGATTAGAGTGACAAAGACAACTGAGCGGTCTACCATACAGTGTTGACATATCTCAGGTTACTGATGAGGAACTATGATAGTCCAAGTGGTAAGCATCATAGATTAAAAGCCACTCTTGCGCTGTTTGGAATCCCAATGGATTAGGTGAACACGAAATTCATTTACCTCCGAACAAGACAAAATAACTGTAATATGCTTCACATATTTTTTTCGGTTATTGTCATGTTAATTCTGCATCATACATATACTTCCATGATTAAACGAAGTGTTTCTTTTTAACGGAGGGTCATCACGGATGCAGTTGCTCAACATTTATCTTTTTCCAGCTTTTCACGAACTTTTCAAATATTTGTTTGGCTATTTGAAAAATGACACCATTTTCAACACTTGCGGACACAACATTCACTACAGTGTTTGTGTGAACACATCAAAAGCAAATATGAGCTCACTTTGACGCAGCGCTCATATCAAATGAGGAATGCAGAAATTCTTGATGATATCACTTAGCGCTTATCAGGGCGACAGAGTAGTACATTCTGAAGACCGCATATTTTCATAAACCCACATATTTTTCTACCTGACCACATTTCAGTCTATGCGGATGGCCTTGTGTGCACCCTGAGCAAACCTTACCCACAGTCAAATTCCCCTATTACGAGAAGTCTGGAGCAATTAGAAGTGAATCGGTCCAGCCTGATCTTTGTTAAGCTTCTGGGTCGAGGTAGCTTTGGCGAAGTATGGCATGCCACATGGAATGGTCGACTACCTGTGGCTGTGAAGCGATTATTGGTAAACGAGTCAATGGAGGCGGAGCGTTTGTTGAATGAGGCCAAACTGATGCAACGCTTGAATCATCCACGAATTGTACGGTTGCTGGCCGTTTGTACCACACCGTCCAACCAACCTCCGTATCTCGTTACCGAATTGATGGAGAACGGATCACTGAAGAGTTATCTACGATTGCTCAAGTTTGACCAGGTGAAATTCGCACAACTTATCCAAATGATGATTTGGGTACGTTTCCGTTTCATCAAATAATCAAAATATTTATATTTGAACGTTGCCTGGTTGTATGGTCTGAGATACACCTTGTCACCCTATGCACAGACCATATGCTGTGTGTGTTCGTATGGACATATTCTTACCGACACGCAAGAAATTTTGATGCGCTCCCGGGGGTGTTCTGCCGGAGTTTAAAGCTCAAGGACGGTGGTGGGAGCATTCAGTGTCCGAACTTAATGGTAACGGTTATGCATGGGATAATTATCCCGAGTCGATTAAATAGCGATCAGAACATGTGGTGACCGATGCGAACGAGTGAAATAAACATTCAGTGATTATATATATATATATTATATTATATATTGGTAAGGAATATCGTGTACGCATCAACAACTCCTTCATAATTTTCCGGATGCACTTCGCCCCCCCAGTAAAGAAAGATAATGTCAAGGAAATGAGGGAGAGAAGTGGGACCGTATCGCTGGAGACGTTTTGAAACTCATGAGCAGTTCAGCCGTTTTACATATGTGGTGCAATGCTTATCCTGTACGTTCTGTCAACCACTCAGCATATTATTGACTTTGAATGACGGTTACTATTGGCTTTTATTTACTAACAGTTCCACGGATTATTTCACTATATTCCTATCAATTCGGCATTTTAAATAGTCACTACTATGAAGGAACTTGTTGATCCACTTCTTCACCGGTAAGGTCCTGGCCGTACAGGTTCTTCATTCAACTGCTGCAAGGGAATGACACATTTTTCTTTTATATGCATTATACACATTGTTTGTCAAATGGCAGTTTATACTGAGTTTTAGGCCCATTAGGACATCCATGGAAGGCATGTTCTCGTTATCCTTTCACTCGATCAAGCTGTGACTGGGGTTGAGCATTGCGAACACTTGGAAACGTCTTAAGCTGAAACTTCCTCAGCTCTAGCAACTTATGTGCATGCCCTATTTGCTATGATGTGTAAGGCACTATATAAATGCCTAAAATTTCGGTTAAAGTTGATAACTGCCAAAAATATGATCCAGCATGAATGATAGTGTTTTCTTAGGGTAGTCGGAAAATTGAATAGACCAATCCTTAGCCATGCACAAACGTTCTAACCTAAATAACGATTACTAGGCGGAATATACATCATGAGCACACCCCTAAATACATAACACCTCATTAGAGAAAAGTTTGAGCTTTGGTATTTGTGCAGTGCAATGAGATTGCGATTTTCAAGCCTGAAGCTGTTTGTTGGCGTACAGTATTCACAACAATAGCTTTTTCATATGATGCATTCACCAAAGTGATGTGAGATTTATTTAAGTTTTGAAATAAAAAAGAAAACAACTGAAAATGCCGTTTTGCCGCAACACGCTCGTCCACATAACCAATCTGTTACAGGTCTCCGAAGGAATGATGTATTTGGAACGACAAAATTTCATTCATCGGGACTTAAGGGCTAGCAACGTGTTGGTAGATCAGAAGTATCAACTAAAAGTGGCCGATTTCGGACTGTCTCATATGCTCGGTGAGGCGGATGAGTACATTGGAACTACATGTGAGTCACATCTTGCTTGCCTTGCTATCAACCACCGATGAATGTTTGGGGATGTAAATGACAATAAGTTTGGTTGCTTTATCTGGTAGGCTTCAAATGTTAAATGTTGTTGTTAATTTCTTTTCTTTGAAATTAGAATGAACTGCCTTCTCTTATTGAAATTTGCGATAAGTGATGCCTAAAGTCTCGGTTTCAACGCAATAAAAACGAAGACTGTCTTATGACACAGTTCTTTTGATGTGAGTCAATTACTGAAGTAACAAATTATATACACACCTTGTTTCGTGAGGCATCTGTGTTAGAACAGTCGTCAACGCACTTCTATACCATTTCAATTTCAAGTGAATCCGTTGTAACTTTGTGACTCCGATGTAACTTCAAATGAATCCAACCAATCGGACTACATTGGGAACCCCACAAGATGATTGATGTTTCGGTCGTCAAACGTAACAGATTGGACCGAGTCTGTTTATAACCCGTCCATTCCGAATGAAATCACTTCCCCGTAAACAAACAAAAGTACTTTTTGGGTGATTCATCGGGTGATGATGAAAGTTTTTATGTCTATGATAGTTGATCGGGTGTGCGAATGAACGCGAATGAACGAACCCGGCGATAATTGACCGCTGTCGGTCGGGTAACAGAGCGAATCACGTCAAGATGGATCGACCAATCGGTCACCATGTTCAGACGTAAATATTGGGATGAACCATCGAATGAGTGGATTCAGTCCAAGCTCTTAGTGAGTAAACTTCATCGGGGTAGTGATTCTCTAAAATAAGACCGATTGCTTTGAATCAAATGCAATTTCGCACGTATTTCTGACATTGAAACGCACGCTTGACGAAATAATTAGCAGTCATAAGCGAGCGGGTGTGAATATTACAGTTTGCTTTTCCCCTGGAATAACTCGCCACACAGATCAAAGATGATTCCTCCTTCATCCACAATGGAAATAAATCCTATTTCAACTTAAATGGAATAGGCCCCAGTGTTTGGTAATTCGGACCATTTGCACATCAACAATAAGCGAATTCCCTACCTACCCAAACTAGTCTACTGGTTTTACATGATTGTTTGGTTTTAACGACAAATAAACTGCCCGCCTTGATTTGCCTTTAATCACCACGTGCCCTGGAAAACATTAACTACCGAGGGGCTGCTTCTGTATGAAATTATCAACCAACGTAAAGTGAATAACCAGCTTACTCTAATTGTGAATGCGCTCTAAAGGGTATACAATATCTCATGAACCCGGCTTATTGACTCAAATAATGGAAAAACTTTCTGACGTTTATCTCCCATTCACAAAAACGTTCAGTGATTGGAATAAGATCAAATGTATTAAAAATCAATCATTTTGATAGCTATCGGATAATGTACCCGTACATGGTTAGAGACAGGCTGACAATGATCGTTCGTGATATGAGACTTGGTATCAGCAGCACTGCCTTTCAAACATGTCATTCTTCAGTCGTTTTGGTTCATTTGGCCCCCAGGATCACCCGTCAATGACAGGCGTGTGTGTGTTTGGGCAATTAGATAATCGGTACAGGGCAGGGGCCGAATGCAAGTGTGTCCAACACCAGAAAGGGGCAATAGAGGTCACAAGTAAACTCGTGCGATTGGAGCCATACTAGATGAGCTGTGTCTGTATGCGTTTCCATTCTCTTAATCTGAGACTGTGAAAAATAAGCATTCGCTTGGTTATGTAAGAAATGGATAAACGGAACAAAACGAATTTAGAAGAGATCAAAGGATGTGTTATGATGGGATTGGTGAGGTGATAACCAACAAAACTAAAGGAGCAGCTGTTCCCTCGTTGCTGATATTAATCAGCAGTGTTCATTTTTAATGATCAAATCAACGGATGGATGAATTAACCAATTAGTCGATCAGTCAGATAGGGGGCAAATTTATCAAAAAGCATCATAAACACCACTGGCACCTCCTTGGTAAGCCCCCTCTATGTCGCGATCTTGACGATAATCCTGATCACAGAGTGCTTGAAATGGATAATGGTTTCATTATGTCATGAGTTTTGAATTGATTTGAATCATAATCTAATCTACTGAACTTCGGTGATGCTGCATTCTGCCTGAACGTCCTAACCGAAAGCCCTTTTAGATGAAAGAGGACGGTAATTCTATTTTGAAAATGCAGTATACATATAAGACCGGGGAGAATCCTTAGTCAGTTAAACTCGGAAACAGAACAATTGGCGAGTGAAGAGGAATCATGACTTCCATGAATACATGCAGAAATTTATTCTGATTTATGACATTTCCAAAATAGAATCCACCAAATAAGCAACGCCATATCACATCCTTCCAGGAGGTAGAGCTGATAATATCCACAGACGTCAAATCAGTATTCTTAAAGGAACTGACGTTATTCTGTTCCAAGTCAACCAGAATTCTGGCTGACTAAAAGACTAGCTCTTGGTATGTTTCCGCTCACTCTACTTTAATTAAAAAACCTTGATTATGCAGTTAATTAGTGGATTGCCAAAAATAAAGAAAATCTACTGGTTGTGTCAAAAGTATAATGCGACGGTTTTCCTCTGATAAAAAATGGCTTGAATTAGGATAATATAGGGATAATTCAGTTCACCGTTAATCATATACATGCTACAAACTGTTTGCGAAATAATGATTCATTCTGATGAATACTTTTAATCAATTGAACGGCAGTCATCATTGCAAATGCAAGTTTCCGGCGATGATGGCTTTGACATTTACAGGAAAATGTTGAATGCATTTTTCCCTACTTTCCCCCAAACCGAAAACCTCCATAACAGTAATGGTATCCACTGCTAATACAATGTGTAAAACGTAAACAGAAACATCACCTCATCGTGTTTACCTTCCGCGCCACCATAACAACAACAACAACAACAACTGCTACTACTAATACTACTACTACTACTACCAAAAATACTATTACTACTATTGGTAATAAGAATAATATTAGCAATGGATGACAACATGCTCAAATAATTTGGTTACACTCGGCTGATCTATCGTAAGTTGCAAGAAATCACACAATTTATTGTTCATCCTGGGGAAAATCATTTTACGACGATGTAGTAACTAATCTAAATTTTCAAATACCACTGACCAAAGGCTTCGTGGAGGCTAGTTTACGGCATCCGTCTAGAATGCTAGAATGTCTATTCTAAATGGTAAATCACACAAATGATTGCGCCTTATCACCGTTGACAAGTTTCTTTTACAAATACAGTTTATTCATTGATACCCTTCAATAGGGGTGATGACAGCATTTGGAGGGTTTTAGTATTCAATCATCCACAAAAAGCTACTGAACTAAACTGGGTCTAGAATATCACACATCCTCATGTGAAAAGAATTTTCACTAAAGAACAAAGAAGAAGTTCAGGACGAGACAGCACTCGATGTTCATACGAACTATGAAGGACAAAACGGCGATGTCGAAAACCCATCGATTTTGAAAGCAGGCCTTAAGTATACCGAGGGGGCTTACCGTCGGAGCTATACCAATAAACCTAGAGCTCTTGTACCAGGTATGATCTACGAGATCAAGATAACAAGAACGTCAAACAGCGGTTAAATAAACAAATAAACAAATATGCTTACAATTCGTGAAAGAGTGTTGTAAACCTGCAAATGAAGATCCTTCTTCTTCTGACAAATCCAATTCACAAATTATGACAAATTTGTTTAATCAAGAGCAACTGAAGCAAAAAATTGTAAGAAGTTTGGCCGTTTAGATCAAAATGGCCCTCTGGTTTAATGTACATATTTCCGTTATTAATAAAACAATGAATTCTACTCTAATTAGAGCTTATCATCCGGCTTTGAATTCTGAACCCATTGGACTTAAGACATGTGTGTACTACTACTGTGCCAAACAACTGAGACTGGGATTGACAGCAGTTACCAATTCATGTTTGTTCAGATGTCACCTTCGGTCATTCCTTTTATCCAGACGGTACAGTAACTGTGTGTAAACTTCAATCTAATTCCTTGAAAGCTTCGGTGTACCCTCTCAATTAAACCTAATCTGTCAGAGCTTTTTGTTCCGCCATTAACTAATATGTACTTGCGTGCGGTGGTGTGGAATAAATTTTATCGATTTTAACGGACCATCCTTCCGACACCGACTCGAATCACAATTCTGTCAGTCGTACATTCCGGAGGCTCCAGACTCTACTTTTGTCCATTCTTGAATGGAATCATTTTGAGCACACTATTTTACTTTACTTTTCTATTCACATTTTTCATAGGAAGACTTTCAAAAGCTAGATCAAAGTGTACTTGTCAAAAGTAGTATTTCTCTTACCTCCGTCGGCCGAATTATAAAACTATCAAGTGTGCATCACATCAAATCCAGTATACAAACTAGATATTCAATGCGACCAGAGATCCATTACGTCACAATTTACTCGCACGTCACGCATTCATCAAAATGATCCACGACGGGACCTTGACGCTATTGCACACGCATTTAGCGTGATTCCTGTGTCTTTGATAGCAAATAGTATGGCTCATAAGGGGCAGGTAACAGAGGATTAGCGTAAGAATCACAAAGACAAAATTTTTTTATGAGTATGTTCTCTTCTATCTTTTTCTTCTTCTTCTAACCATATTTCCACGAGAGAGCTAAAATGTTTTGTACGCTGTGTGACGTTTATAGTAGCGCAAGTTTTATTCATCATATTAAAGTTTAGATACAAATAAAGATACATTTGTTTATTAGCTCAAGGTACCCATGAGGGTTATTAGTGGTTATGAAGAAAAGTTCCCAGTGTATATTTCTAATATATTCCCACAGCTAATCTTAGTCCTGGTTTTCTCCTTGCAGTGACCAAATTTCCGATTCGATGGACTGCTCCGGAGGGCATGCTGAAGCAAGCCTATTCCGTGAAATCAGATATTTGGTCGTTCGGTGTGCTCATGTTTGAGATCCTGACATTTTGTGAAACACCCTATGCTGGTAAGTGACCTGAGCAGTAAAGATCTGAGCATTACACGTGGATCCAACAATATTTATCTTTAAAGTCGGTACAAAATATTTCTAGTCTCTATCGGATTTAAAATGAATTTCAGGATAAAGTATTTCCTTCCAGATAAGTTAATATTCATTGTAATATCTGCTGGTGGGCGGAGGTGGGCCTGTGTCAACATCACCTTATTATCACCTTGTGGATGTGTGTTCGAATCCCACCACCACCGCCCGACTTCCCTCATTTGTGTGTTGAATGGAAGCCCTTTGATCGGTCGCTTCCCTCTTCCTGAAACTTGTATCTTTGTACTTTAAATCAAAGGAAATAAGTGCAAAGAAAAGTGTTAATAAAACAGTTACATTAGTTTGTAAATTTTACAAAACAACGTGGTGTATACAGATATGTAGTCCTTAGTTCCTTTATTTTAAACGAAATATATTTTTAAGTAGTTTTAGATGAATGCTTTCTGTGCATATTGATCAGAACCCGTGACTAGAGTAACTACACGATTGTGATCTGTTCTTTTGGCCTCAGGTTTGAGTTCCAAGGAGGTGAGAGATCACGTTTGTTCCGGACATCGTTTACCCCGTCCCACTATGAAAGTTCGCCTGGGGAACTCCACTCTGGACACATTGGACATACTGAATGCGGAAACTGATTCCACGGTTTCGCGATGTCCTCTAGATTTATACACGCAAATGCTTCAGTGTTGGCACATTGAACCGGAATGCAGACCGACATTCCATGAAGTGAACGCGTATTTGATCAATTACGTTTTGAAATTCAGAGGAACGTAACCTCAGTTTTGTCAATTTGAACTCTGTACATTCTTGTATTATTAATTTTTGATTACGTGTTTATAGATATTGTTTGCGCCCCCCCCTCATGAATACCCTACTATCCAGTTGTATAAGGTCATTGTTATATTCCATCGATATTTCGGAATAAGAAGCTTCTTGTTGCATTGGATGTAGTGGTCACAGGGGTCGAATCTGTTTTACGCCATACGGTTGGGCTGCAAACCAATTTAGTATAGTACAACTTACCTTGGGTTGAGTTTCAGTGGATAAATGTAGTAGTGGAGTTTTTGTATGATGTACAGTTCGAACTTCTTATTTTCGGACAGATGAGAGTATACCATACGGGTGTATCACCATTGCACGTTGACAGACACTTTTATCTTGATCTGCAAATACTTTGTACTGGTCGGTAAGTGAACTAACAATAATAAGGTAGATCAGAGCTTTCATACTGATCTTGTTGTATTCACTGTGCGTTAATACATGGTTACAGAGTCTTGAAAAAACCAAAACTTTTTCGTTGTTTATCGATTTTGGTTCTATCCTTGTTCCTTTCTGATGGACCTGTTTCTGATGCATGGGGGATCCTATCGTTGGTCATTACAGATTTACGGATTGAATACAACTACAGAAATTTCTCTCACTGCTAGCTCGGGGCCTGACAGAAACGTGTATGGAATGAAATATATATTTGTATGTGATTTAACAAAAGCGAAAGCATATTCCGAAAGAAAAACATAATTTTATGCGAAACAATTTGTATAATACTAATATAATAATATTCTTGACTGTATTTGACATTATTGCTGGGTTGGAAATAGTTTAATGCTGACGTGTGATTAAGACTGAGAGAGAACATTGAGCGTTATTACTTATTATCTTCTATCCGGATCTAATTCGTCATGAAATAAATCATTATGTAAGTGAGATTGATGAACTTTTGGAAGACCTACATCAAGGGTTATTCAATTCCAAAGGTGACGTCTGAACTCGTTAGAACAAAGTTATAGGATGACAGATACCAAAGGTATTTTATCGAAAATAATCAAGCGTTAACATCCAGACCACCACAAATGACTGTGTTGGCCAGTTTTATTCCTCAGCATCGACACAAGTCCGAACACATTTGGTGAATTGTTCAACATGTCAGTATGGATGTCGCAGTCAAAATTACCATAATAATAAATTATTATATATATATATTATATTATTTGAACTAGCTAAGCTCCAAGACAGATGCGTAGAAAAAAACATTTTGGACGTAATCCGTAACATATATTGATGAGAATGTCAAAGAATGCCAAAGCTCCAGAGGTCTATAGAACGAACAAACGAATGACTAAAGAACTATGAAAAAACAACCATGACCCTTTCCACAAGATCAAGTGGTCGACTCCCACACAATTTCATCCCAAATTGACCAAACGCGCCCAAATATTGCAATTGATTGTATCACACAACTAACCGAAAACATTTCGTAAAAAGTTAATTTCAAGAGTATCAAAATGCTAGCAGTACTGTGTTCTGGTTTCGCTCAGCTTAAATAAAAAACGGTTACTGTTCTCCTATTCAGGTTACAAGAAATTGTTAAACACAATTGTGTTCTCATACCTCTCAACTTCAAGACAGTTTATTTTTTTTGAAGTGTTTTATGGACGCCGAGAATGCGTAATAGACAGTTGTTTCGCCCGTTTTGGAACTCATCCGTAATGATTACTAATCATACGAACTCCAATCGCGAACTTTCCGGCTGTGTATCATTGCTGAGCTACATAGTCAACGGCTAACAAATAAAGAGCGTGGCGACACGAACTGTAGACATGATATTAATGATTTTAAGTCAAACCACAGATACAAGCATCAAAGAATTCGCATAGAATTAGCGAAACATCCTTGTTCTTCTCTTTATGTCAAAGATGGATCATGTGGTCCAACAAATGCGCACCAAGGTTTACTACCGGAGAGTTTCAGACAAACAAATAGTACATGTGACCCTTGGGTCAAAACAAATGGTTTGACAAAGGTAAGTGCACCGAGCTGGTCGGTGCATGCACGGCAATTCGTTGAACATGCATTGTTTCTTGACTCAGCGCACTATTACATGGTGTTCAGTAACAGCATTATCGTCCACGAAGGTTATTACTTCGATTTTCTGTGGCAGCGAAAGGGGATGACCTATGAGGGTATAGATCTTTCGCACGTTAAACCGTGATTTGAAACATCATTACCACTGACACTATTTCTTCATTGCGAGGGCGGCGGGTAGGTATGAAGTTTCGTCCACTGCTGCAAGAATGAAGGTCATACTAGTGAACATGTGATGTACGTGACCATTATGTTACCGAGTAAAAGTTTTGATCGACTGCTTACTGGATTGCAACAGTCATTCACATTCATGCTGGTGGACAGATGATTGTCGATCAATGAAGAGTAACAGACAGCCATTTTACGGATTCGTAATGCACGACAAGTTGGCATACCGTGTGCTGTGTTATTGGAATTTATCTCTATACCATGAGTTATTTTTCCGATTGTGGTAGAAATCACTCTGAATCCCCTGTGGTAATGACTTTAAGTAGAATTTCTCAAAAAGCTTAGAAAAATAAAGTATAATATCCAAGTTCTATTGTTTGAATGCAAAGTTCAGAAAATCAGAATTAATAGTGTGGATTTGGTGGACCCGAAGTAAAGAAGACCGCCGACATGTTCCAACTGAGGGCGACAAAATCAATGTTCGCATTTCCCCTTCACTTTATGCATGTATTTAAAAGTGTTTTTCTGATTTGTTTGATTCACTGTATGGAGGAAACTTTGTAAATCCACAAATGTTACTCTTAATGTTTTGCCAGCCGACTTTCAATCCCCACCGTATTTGGCACTGTTGGTACCCGGGGATGTCCTGAGGCATTGAGAACTGTTCTCATTCAGGTTGCTTCATGTATGCTAATGAAATCACATGTTTTCATGTAATGACATGTTTAAGGTCATGGTTCCGCATGGCGGGGCTCAAGTCAGGGATTTTATTCAATAACAGTGAACGTGTGCTGACGGGAGTATTCAGTTATGCACTTATCTTGTGATCCAACCACAGACCATTTGGTTATGATCACCAATTGACAGACACATCGTTCACATATTAACGACCTTGGCATGAAAAGTCATATGCGACATGAGGCTGATTTGAATTAACTAATTCTGAACGTATTCACTGACTTGTATTATCGTAGTCCGGTTGGCAAACTTCGCACAGATTCCAACGATGCTCACAGCTAAGTGAGTCATAGTTGTGGTATTGATGCGATTGCAAAAATTGGGTAGTGCATCAGACGATAAATTAAAGATATTCTCGCTCTGCGCGGTGGTCTCAATTTAGAATGCAGGGTAAAAACTTCGCCGTGATCGTTTTATCCTTCACTAATCCGTTTTATACATTTTCACGCATCCCCTTGATAGTTGTCTTGTAGTTCAACTGAGAAAGTTTGTTCCACGTGAACAAATAAACATGTGTAGACGGATAGATACAGTCGAAGAGTGGCGCATTTTTTAATTGGAATAGCTTGGCAAAAGATGTGTAAAATCCTCTTGATTCATTCGGCCGTTATGAACAGATATTACAGTGATGAATTCCGTAATCTTGTCAAAACCTAATGGGTCTCTTCACCTTTGAACAAAGGTTTCCTCTGCCTTCACGTTACATTCACCATCCTAGACCTCAGCATCACTAGTAATTTGACATGGATTGCCCTCCAGTGACCGACGATTCAGATCACATGCATTTTATATTCTTATTGCTGGACCAACTTCTATCACTTCCGGGGCATCAAGTATGCACGCAGTAATTCAAGGCTTCTTTTCTCGCCTGGGTATAACTTCCTTAAGGGTGCGGAAAATAATTTGTGGTTGTTGATTCACATTATGATTAAGCTAAACAAATTCAATCTCAAATACGACACTTCCACTGCTGCTCAGACTAGTCAACCGGTGGAATCATTTTCACAATACGATATTTAGAAACAGGTCAAGAGTGACCGTGTTCGGGTTCCGAGAACACATGACTTATTCAAAGTTGATTGATTTAGTGAGGTTAAATAAATATTTAGATCTATTAGCATTGAAGAAATTCATAAAAGCTGTCCCTATAAAATAATTGTAACTTATCAAGAAATTCTAACATTCGGGAAGGTGGCCATAAAATGTATATTTGTCTTAAGAGATATACACACAAGGATATTAAATTATGCCCCTTCCCAAACGTAATTTTTGGCATTAACCAACCTCGTTGTTTTTCCGCACCAATCCGATTCAAAGTAATTTGTTGAAGCACAAGTGGAAAAATGGATTACAACTAACTAACTACGACGAACTGAACCAGTAGCACATTGTCTAGTAATGCGCACATCTTTTCCGCTCTTTGAGGCAAATAACTCACCCATTCTCCGTGATATTCGAATTCACTGGAAAACGGAGCGAGCAACTTTCTGGACTACAAATACTCCTGAAATTGCTATGGCTTTGGAACAACCACTTTTCTTATTCTTGTGACGCAAACAGTCCCAGTCCATAGGATTCAGATATGGTGAGTAAGTTGCAACATTCGTGTCTGAGCGTTTGTTTTGAATTCATCGATAGGTTTTGGTCCATGAGGAGTTGTATTGAAATCTTTCAGTAAACAGATAGCTAGATGGAAAATCATGTTTGGACTGGATTCGGTTGTGATTGTTTCCATCGGAGTCATAACCCCGCAGGCTATTGCAGACATGAGCGAGGTCTGTGGTCTGTAACAAGCTCGCAAAGATGATTTGTGCTGTACTGTGTAAACGGAAAATAAAAAACGGTCTGATCAGCTGCTTGGTGGCTGAGTAGGTAGTATGCTTGCGTTCTGCGTGTGAGGTTCCCAGTTGGATTGACGGATTCGCACTGCTGCTGAGACCCAAGCAGGGAAAACAGCAATACAGTGCTTCCCAGCCTTTCAGCTCACACTCCATTTGCCATGTATACGAATTTCCACCTTGAAATTGAATTAAATCCTCATTAAACCCCCCTTAAACAGATATCAGTTGCATAGGTGATATGAAAAATTTATCTTTGAAGGATATGACATCCTTGTTGGCACGGTCATTTCCTTGCACGATAATACGGTCGCGTTTTACGCTAATCCGTTTTGCACCCTACAACTGTAAAAGGCCATCGGATACCTTGTGCAGTGTGATGTTTCCATGGTATAACGATACAAACTCCTTTGTTCAGCTAAATTCGAGATTGTTGTGACAAAACCCTAAAACAACTAGGGATTACTCGGGTTAAACAGCACAAGTTCTCTATGGTTATTCGCCTAAGTAACACCATATTACGCAATCAAATGTGGAACTCACGTAACGTTGGGTTCTGACAGATATTAGCCTAACTGGTAACCGTCATCCACCGTACGATAGCTGTAGGCCTCGATCACAATGCAGTTCACAAAAGGGTTTTAATGACATGATGGATTGTTGAAGCATACACAGTTGGGGGGTGTAAATGGTAGGCGGTACGAGGGACCATTCTAGGCTTTCGCTGATCTTGATTCAATACTTATTCGAAGTTTTACGTTTAACGTTATTTTTGCATCGTTTTTCATTTCTCAATTTTCTTTATCACATTGTGAAACCAGTGGTTCCCATTCTACCATCTATATATCGAACTATATCAGATACAGTGGGTGGGTCTTCGTTCTGTGAGTAAATCAGGAATAGGCTACTATCTGGGGGCTACCGTCTTAACTTTGAATCTATACTCCGCGATTTCCAGCTCAAACAAAATCATTTCTGTTCACGATCATTGTTGATACTTGGTTGAACAGATCAAGATTATGAACATGTGTATGTTCATTCATAATTGGAGTTGGAGCACTTGGTTAGATCATGCGCACTCTCTCCGTTCTCGGTCATCATGGCATACAACGACATCTCGCAGTCCTCTAGTATGGCTGAATTTGAGAGAATAATAATCGCATTTTGACTTCAGTTTCCATCGGCATTGGAAACAAAAATATCGAATTATCTCGAAACCTAACTAACCGTTCTCACGTGAATGGGTACATAAAGCAGTGATGTTCTCCTGTGCAAACCGGGTAGTTAAGTGAGGTAAGGACTTTTCATTGATAAACATTTAGTATAGAGTTGAGAACATAAACATCTTGCACTTTTTTGATTCCTGTTTGAAGGTACCGTTTTGATTCATCGACTCAAATGTGGACATGTGCTAGACCCTTTCCGGGTCCAAGAGTGTCACAGGTTTCCTTTTGAATAAAAAGTGCAAAATAATGGCATTCTGTATGTGAGCAATTATGAAACCTTAATGTCCGTCTTGATACCAATTTTGATAACCGATCAGTGCTTCGTGTTGTCGTTTATTGAACACCACTTTGAGGTCAGATTGATTTTACTCACTGCTTCACGGTGTCTGTTCTTCGCGTCTCTGACCCGATCGTTATGCTTATTCCTCAGTTTAGCGCCTGGGGAGAAGGTGAACTATGGTTCGTTATTCTGCATTTCTCTCTTGATTTCGCCAAATCGAATGTTACTGATCGTTAACAACAGCGCCAAGCATTGTAACCGGGTGCCTATATCGTATATTGCAGAACAGTTCACGGGAAATACGAGGATAACGCCTTTGTTAGCGTCGAAGAGAGGAGAATTATAAGCGCTCGAACACAGCCTCATAAGAATGGTATTCCTATAAAGAGATCTTGTTGGAACTTTGTGGCTTTGTCTGGATTAAGAATCATTCTGACATGGCGTACTATTTAAATCGTTTGTCGGGTTTTATAGAACAGTCAGAGGGATGTTGGTTCCGACACAGACCTACATATCACCTTTCGTGACACACTACTTACAGTCCGAGAATGCAACGATAGATGACCGTGTGTTTTTTCTCCTCAATCAGTGAGTCACTTCAATTCAAGTTATGGAGCAAACAGATTCGAGGCTGCAAATTTAGCTAAACCACTTAAATGACTGACATTCAGGACAGCAGATAACTACAGCGGTAGGTGAGACGCAGTTACCTTTGTACAAGTCGTGGATCCTTCCATTTGATTTAGTTTTATACAGATCGACCGGAAAGACACAAAATTGGAACGAAGATATGAGTGGCTCGGCCCTGCTGTCATTTTCAACGTGTTGAAATCAGCAGTCTACAGACAAGGTCAGACGGCACATATATGGTCATTGCTATTTGGGAATCCTTAGAAAAGTCACCTTTGAGATAATTCACATTAATAAAAAATGCAGAAAGTCATTTATTTATGGGAGTGTGGTTTTTCAGGGATTTATTATCCATAGTTCTGGGATCTTGTAGTTCATCGATCAGGTGGCAGTTGTTCTCGCTCAAAAATGCGTGGATTCAAGTGGCTATTTATATCCAAGTTCACCTGCTTTCAGTCAGCATATCATCCACGAAAATTGCGTTAGGAGTAAAACCCTCTTTGCCGTTCTTTTGATAAAGCACCAAGCACACTCAAGACACTCCAAGACACAAAAGTAGTACGATTCGGCTGGTCAAAGACAAAACAGTAAGAGAATCGTGAAGAAAATAGCCTAAAAAACACGGTTTCATTTAGGCATTNATGAACACCTTGAGGATGTCACAGATGGCAAACCAATGACAAGAAAAAATAATTTGTTTTGAAGGCGTTCACCAAAGCTAGTTTGAAATTTACGTCTGTTTCAATCACATGGTTTTATTTGCATGTTTTCACGAAGTGCTGTTTAGTTATCTGTTTCTTTTGGAGTCCTTCAAACCTACTCTACCTTCAGTTAACCAGTTACCTCAATCTGTAACATCCTTTCATTCCCAGAGTCTTCATCATTTTGAACTGAGTAATTTTGGTTCAGCACAAAGACATACCATAATCATCAGCAGTCAGGTTTTCATTTGATCATTGCTAGCGAAACAAATGCTGTTTGGGCTTGAATCAGACACCAACAATCAAAAACGATGTTGATAAACATCTCGTGACCTGATCGTTTGGAATATCCAGACTGTTTTATTCCACGGTACCATCCATCGCAACAAAAACACCGATTGGACTGCGAATTTATTAACTCGCTTGTCATTTATTGGACGACAACTAAAAATTAGCATAGTATGCATACCCCCAAAGTCTAATTATCATCCTTTTCATCAGTGTATGAGGATTACACGAAAGTCTTGTGCTCGTTTCGAATATCTCTAGTGCTTGCTCGGTGGACGTTTTGAACGGAATCTGTTCAGAAAAGACACCCGCCTTGTGTTTGATGCGTGGGTGTAGTTGACATCAGACGTTAAGTATTAAAAGCACACTGCATGAGGTGCATCATTTACGTTCCATGCGTGACATAGAAAAAGTTCCAGCATCTTCAATCACTCTCGTCTACATTGGGCACGTTACCAGGGGACTGTGATAGTGCGAACAGCGGTGAGTGTCATAAAATGTCTTATTTTAATTTTGGTATTTCGAGTCAGCATGTGATGGTATGCGGACTAGTGGACATCATTTTTAGCTGATAGATTATTACTTAAGATTATATAAATAAAAATTAAGGAATTATGCGTACTTTTGTAAATAATTGGTTGATATTTATAACATACGTTTCTCAAGCAGAACACAAACTAATGCTCATTCATATGCACCATAAGTATTATCACGGATAAAAATATCTGATCATTTGTTTTATAGCCGTATCAAATATTTTCATTTCGGCAGTTCAAATATTACTCCTCGTCTATATATATATATATATATATATATATATATGAATTAAAGTTTCAGGAACATTGTTACTCTACTTGATCTAGCTTATCTTGAATGGTTTTATACAACAAGTATGATTGATTAATACTGATTTCGTGGTGCGCGGTTTTGAAAATCTTGAACAGAATTTTGTTGTATTGGGGTTCAGACGTATTCAGTATGAGGTTCATCCATGGCTCAAGTCCAAGGTAGCGATCGTTTCAGTCAGCTTTGTCAGGTTGAGGCCGGAACGAGCCAAGTGATTTATTTTTTAGCAAAGTGCTGGATTAAACTTGGTGAGGCTTCCTACCTCTTTGTAGGACGGATTGCGCTGAAAAATAGCCCGATAGCTCGCATCTACAAATAAAGTTGCTCATCTTATTGCTTACTCCGGAATGAGGACAAACTACATAACTGGGCTGATGGTGAAGCTGAGTAAATCCAGTGAAGGAACTCGTAGGTGGCACACATCAGACAACTCAACAACCATAAGCAATTTTTAGACCATAAAACAGACACAGGCAGAAACAGCTAATGCATGTTTTATGAAACAATCGTCAAATGTTCACCAATACGGCAGCACTTAGAAAACACGAGCAAGGTGATGTTATTTGGGTTTTTTAGGTTATATTTGATCTGAAGAATACTAGACTTCCCACTGTTAGAAAAATGGAACGAACCAATGCGTAAATACGTTTATAATAAACCGAAATCCACCAACTATGCTGCTCACTATCTGGGTAGGACCGCTGTGAATCCGGTATTCCAAAGATCATGTTTGGCCCAGAAAAAGAATGCCATACTGTCAAAATGTCGTTTGGAATAAGTTTGGTTCTGATTAAACCAAAGGATAACCATCAATTGTGAGTGCTGAGTTGGGTTCAATCATTCACATTTAATCAGGAAATTTGAATATTCACTATAGACAAAAAAGGTTTTGTTCAAATAAATTTACTAAAATTATAACAAGAAGATTATCAACCGTAGGTTAAATCTCTCAAGCAGTGCATTTTATCTTATTCGACCAAGGATTACGAGCCTCAGTTAGTCGATGGAGGTGCTTCTTAAAAAACATTTTTGCTCGTAATTGTATTTCAGTCTTCTTAAAGCAACTGCTACCATTTCAAACAGTATCTTCATACGCTGGATCATCGTCCGAGAACCAACGACCGGTGAAGTGCATTTCACACGACGATGCCAAAAGTAGGCATCAAACAAATGGGCTCGTGGATTTCAGCTTTTATTGACAGGATTGTCGGTCCAAAGCGATCCGCATACCCGGAACACCTGACGAAGGAAAGGGTAGCTGTGGACAGCACCTTTGATCTGGACGATACTCCAGTAACGGTAGCGGAGCAATCGGTTACACCCGAAGTCCAACGATCCGGTTGGAGTAAACAGATTGAATTCGCCCTTTCTTGTATTGGCTACTCGGTTGGTTTGGGTAATCTGTGGCGATTTCCCTATCTTTGTATGAAATACGGTGGAGGTAAGTGTGTGTGTGCGCATGATCAATTTGCTGTCACAACGGTACCCCTAACCCATGGATAAGCACATCATCATGCTGATCGCAAAATATGAAGAGTATCATATGAAGGAGTACCTTTTTATGAATATAGGAGTAGTACAAACTTTACCAGTCCACTGTGACATAGAATATGGGCTGATCTGTTTCATGGTATGCGGGAAATGCCTAGGTGTATATATAAGTAAAAGCACAGACAAAAGATTATTAAGTAGAAAAGAAGGTAGTAATTTTTGATTAGTGCATTTCTTTGTAAGAATGAACCAAAGACAAGTGAATACCAGGTATATTCAGAAATAAATTACCTGAATACTGTATCCGGAATTGTAATGTTTTTACCGAAACTATTTCATACACGTACTGGGTTCATTCAAATGAAGGGACTGAGCATATATACTTCCTTTTAATTTGAGCAATTACAATGAAAATGTAGCAAACAACAAAATCGTTTGCGGTGATACTTCTATGGACTAATACATCAAAAGTTATATCAAACTGTTTTGTAGGGAGAAGAAACCGTAACAACTGGGAAAAGAAATATTCAACACTCCAGTTTCATGACCGGATGTTGCTCGCACTCCAATCGTTACACGTTCGCATTGGTTCGGGTCATTGGGGATGGTTGGAGGGATGGCTACACGGTGTTGGTTATGAAGGACCGAGTGCTCTTACGAATAGCTTTGAGAGTATATGGTGGGAGAGAGGATTATGTAGGCGGATTCCGGTTGCTTCCGCTGTCACCAGAAGGGGACTCTTAATCCTGTTAGATCGACGGCTGCAAACTAAGTAGAGGGGTTGAAACGCTTCAGCCACTTTAACCACGTGCTTCGGTTGCACTAGGAGTAAAACGATGGAACTGTGATAGTCTTAATCACTGCACTCTTCAGCCAGGTGGGGTGGGGAGTGCTCACAGACTGGTCCAGATAAACGTTTTCTCGCGCAGCAGTGTGAATAAGTCAGGACCCTTTTAAAGTATTTAACCCAGTCCATGTAAACGAACATTTTGCTCTAAGGGACGAAGAAAAAGAACTGGTGGAGCTTCTGGACACTCTAATAAGTCGTCAAGCAGACGGGACGTGCCACGAAACCACAGGAAACCAACGTGAATAATTAGTAGGTCCATTTAAAAGTTATTCGAGAAATCCCCCTTCGAAACGGATACACAGATTGATTTATGGAAAACATTTTGGGATGTCTCGGTTGCCAAATAAGATCACTATTGCTGAGAACAAAACCGGTTTAAATATAACTACCCGTCAAGGGCAGCACAACTAACGAGGGGATAACACGTAAACTGAGTACAGTTGTAGAAATTGTATTCCCCGCAGCAAAACTGCGTATTGTCTTCAACTGCAGGTCACCTTTTTGCTCTAAACTCAAAAATACATTGCCTTTTTGTAGTCTCAGTCTGTTTACTTACTTACCTGTTCCTGTGGGATAAATCATATTGGCCGCACGAGAAAACGTTTATCTGGACCAGTCTGTGAGCACTCCCCACCCCACCTGGCTGAAGAGTGCAGTGATTAAGACTATCACAGTTCCATCGTTTTACTCCTAGTGCAACCGAAGCACGTGGTTAAAGT